TCCGGCCCTACCCGGGGCCGGAGTCGCGCGAGTGGTCAGGGGTCGGCCGGGGCGTTTGGGGTTCAGTTTTAGCCGCAGCTTCTGGCAGAAATGTCCGGGCGCTGCAGGTGCCTGCAGCCGGCTTCTGCCGGGCGTGAGGCGGGCAGGGTCACACGACGCGCGTGTGCATCTATTCCGTGTTGTTGTGTGTTTCAGGTCGATAAATAAATGTGTAAGAGTTAATGTGCAGACACATCAGAGTAATAACAATGGGATGAAATCAAAGGATTATCAATCTCTGTTAGTAACTGCTGAATAACAATGTTGCGGTGTGATTGATAGCGCGCTTCATTTTATGACTTTTCTATTGCTCTTGATTTTTATAGCAGTATAAACAAACTAAATCATTTCTTCCAAGACTTCAGAGTGGAATCGTCTTAAGGGAAGGGGGGAAATCAGAGAAGGAAGTCTGCGGGAGGGAAAAGAGCGGCCAGGGCTCACACTTAAGCGTGTCAGAAAGAAAACGACAATGGGGCATATGTAAAATGCCCTAATCACACTCCGCTTCCGTGCACTCCTGTGTCGTCAAGTGCCTGAATTCACCTGGGCAGCGTCGGAGATGTATTTACAAGGATTTTATTGCCCGTCATCTTTCCATTTTCCCAGCGTAGCCAGAAAACTGCCAGTCAAGTCCATTCCCTGTTACAATTTACGGTATTCCCCACATGATCACAGGAACTGAAGTTCCTAACAAGGAAAGGCTTTAGCACAATGGCCCAAAATCTTCAGAGTGACACGAGTGTCTTCAGAAATCACTTCAGAGCAAAGTAAAAGGATTTTCTATGACGGATCCAGTGATTTTTCCTCAATAAATAGGTTTTAGATTGTTACACACACGTAGAACTGGAACAAAGGGAACTACCAGAAAATATATTGGTTGCCCCTAATAAAATTTATTTAGACAGTTTACTTCTCATAAAAAATAGAGATTGAATTTCGTACAGGAGCGCCTGCCAAGGGGCTAGGCACGGAGAGATCATCTCCCCCCGCACCTTCTTTCCCTTTCTCTTTCCCTCCCACCCCATCCCTTCCCGGCGGGCCCGATCCCGGGGTCCCAGCTCTCCCCTCCGCCCCCCGCCTCCTGCCCACGTCGGCTGGTCCGCCCGAGTCAGGGCCGCGGGAGCGGGGCGCGCCGCGTTTGGGGGCTATATAACCCTAACTCTCCGGTGCCGTGACCCCGGGAAGAAAGGGTAGAGAACTTTCCGACCCCCAGAGCTCTCCCCCTCCCCTCCCTGCTGAACTCAAGCCCTGATTGAATGAGGCTGTAACATAAACAAGTGTATTTAACCAATTCTGCTCTGATTTAGGAACAGAACCTTCTTTTATCAGAATAATTATATTTGGAGCGAGAAACACGGTAAAATAAGGTTAAACTGCTAAAGTTAGCAGGGTGGCTTGGCGTAAATGGCTGATAAGGTTTGTAATTTGATATTTTATTTATGTATTTATTGAGCATCCATCCAGTTAAGGGGGCTGCTGTATGCAGAGCACCGTAATTGCTTTTACACTTAGCAACGCTCCCAGCGTTTATCAAATGTAACTTTTGGTTGCCTGGCTTGTTCGCGCGGCTTTTCTTTTTTTTTTTTTTTCGTATTTCCAGACAGTAGTGCTGAAATATCGGATATTATTATTCACATTCCCGCTTCTCAGTGCCGCATTGTAACATTGTTCGCTTTAATGAGAGGCGCCTCCCTCAATAATTAACGACCTCACATTTCCCTATTTTCTTGCCTGATGAAAAGAATCAATTTTAATTCATTGTAAATTACAGCTATGCTTTTGAGTGTTATTTGCTTACAGAAAACAAATCAAGTGACTTAGGCTCCTGTTTACTTTTCCACATCGGCATACCCTTAAACACAAATGACAAATCAAACTATATCCTTTCGTTAGGCGCAATTTGGAGCTAAGAAATGGAAAAACATAAACACGTGTTTTTATTTCAATCAACCCTCTCGAAAGTATGACTTCTTTGGAAATGAAGGACAGGGCTGCCAGCGGCTACAGATCCCAATTTATTCATCCTAGTCAGAGCTAAATGTGACGATCATCGCCGCTTTACGACATGAGGCTGCATGCAGCATTTTGTAGCTGCAATAAATACACTTCTTTGAAAGCAACTTTATGAAGTTTAAAGGCATCCGAGGCAAGAACGATCGCAGCTGATCAGAAACGCAGCCGTCAGGTGTTCCGAAAACAGCCTCCCTCAGGGCGGCAGGGAGAGCTCGGGTCTCCTGTCGTCTGTTCTCAAACACGGTTAAGAACAGCGTCTTCCTATTTGCTTATTTATCGAAATATCCGCGCCTCGCTCCGGCTGAGTCAAAGGCAGCGCCTCCGATTGTCTCCTCGCTGGCAGGCTGCGGGGAAGCTCTCGACAGCGAAGCGGCTGCTTTAGATTGAAAGGATGGCTTCTATCAATTAATTTGCATCAGAACTATGACAACCAGTCTTTTATGGGGAAAAAGCTATTTTAATATAAAGGTACGCCTGACGCCCCCCACCCGCTCTCCCCCGTCCAAACGCAAACTCTTTATACACAAAAGTCACCTCCCCCCTATGTACAGACTTGTGGCAAAGTATTAAGTTCATAAACTTAAAACGCGGAGCCCGAGAGTAACGCGCTGTGCTGTAGCTTTTGCAGTCGGACAGGGGTTCTCGGGGCTGCCCCGAAGGCGAAGGGAACGCCGGTACAAAGCGTTTTCCAGCTACATCTCTGTTTAGGGAAAGAGCACGCTTCCAGGAAGACTCTCCTTACCGAGCTTTGAGGAATTTATTTAACACATGCCCGTGTTTTGAAAATCCGAAACCTCCCCAACCGTCTGGATAAATAAACCGCCAGGCGTAGCAATGAAAGAATATATGTCGGAGGCTGACGTGGGTGGAGTATTTAACTTTCTCCCTTTTAACGCCGTAGTTTTAATCTCTTCAATTACATAGGTGGTATATAGTAATAAGGAACATACATATTTTGTTTGTATGTGTTAAGTTGGCTGCTTTTCTGATTTCT